ATAACTGCAAATAAATGGAAAACACTTGTGTGTAACAAAATTTGTTGTTCATTAATATATATTTTTACAGTGTAGAGAAAAAATAACTAACAGTGATCACCATACACTGCAAATAAATGATTATCCTATTATAAATTTGGTTTTGTTCCTAGTTTAAAGATCTGTTTTTTTTAATTTTTTTCTGAAATAATTAGTGAGTTCTCCTTTAGAACAAGCAAAATAATCTGCCGGTTGGCTGAGTAAAAAAATCTAAAAAACAACATTATTTTTCTAACTTTAGCTGTAGGTTATTTAGCTTGTTAAGGAAAAACTCACTTATTTTTGTCTTTTATTTCCGTGTATATACACACTTGAAGTCAAAATTAATAGCCCTCTTTTGAATTTATTATTATCATTTTAATAATTCCAAATGATGTTTAATAGAGCAAGAAAATTTTCACAGTATGTCTCATAATATTTTGTCTTCTGGAGAAACTCTTGATTGTTTTATTTCATTTAGAATAAAAGCAGTTTTTATTTTTTTTAAAAGCCATTTTAGGGTCAAAATTATTAGCACCTTTATAATTTTTTGATTATAAAGTCTACAGAATAAACCATCATTATACAATAACTTGCTTAATTACCCTAACCTGTCTAGTTATCCTAATTAACCTAGTTAAGTCTTTAAATGTCACTTTAAGCTGTATAAAATGTCTTGAACAATATCTAGTCAAATATTATTTACTGTCATCATGCAAAGATCAAATAAATCAATTAGAAATGATTAGAAATTAGAAATGAGTTATTAAATTAGAAATGAGTTATTAAAACTATTATTATTAGAAATGTGTTGAAAACACGCACGCACGCACCCACGCACGCACGCACGCACACACACACACATATATATATATATATATATATATATATATATATATATAATTATATAATATAATATATAAAATAAATAAAGGTACATTTGGCAAATTATGGATGAACATAACCCTCTTAAAAAAAATCCAGGTTAGGAAAAAAACTGAAACATACAAAAAAAAAATGATATTTTGAAGAATGTTGGAAAAACAGCAATTGACTTCCATTATAGTATCTTTTGTTACTAATATGGATGTTAATGGCTTCTTTTTCCTTCAGACTTTCTTGGAGAAAAGCACGAGGAAGTTTAACATTGTGGGTGAAATGTCCCTTTAAAAATTGCAAACATATTTTGTAATGCAAGTTTTCTAAAGTAATACGTTTCATGATGCAAATGAGCCATTGTTTAATTAAATATGCAGTAATTTGCATACACTACATTTAATTAAAATACATTTATCCATTAGATGAAGTAAGGTTCAACAATCTGTATGAAAATATACATATTAGAAAATACATCAAAAAATAATGCAAACGGCCACATTTACACTTTTTTTTTTTGGATAAATAAAATGTTTGTAATCAGTTAAATTATGAATGAACATAACCCTCTGTATAAAAAAAACAATGCAGAATACAGACATGAATAAAACTGAGTTTAATTTAAGTGTTGCTGATTTTCATTTAATTTTGCTCTTTTTTTTTGAGAAAACAGCCTTTATAAATGTGTTGCGATTCAAATCCACACACACAACCTGATAAAGTGTGACAAAAGAAACACTTAAAAGTGCATTCTGGATGCTTTCTTTAAATCAGACTGAATTTATAATAGATGTGCATGAAAAAAAACGATGTTTCTGCCTGCAGGATCTTGCTTTGAGTTCATCGGTTAAAGAAAAACGTGAAGCCTTTTGACATTTTCTATTGCTACGACATGCAATCCTTCCACTATGCTCTGCGCCCGAGGCCTCCCGAGTGGTAAACTAAGCCTTTTTTTTTATTTCTGGAATTGTCCAACAGCAGCGTCACCGAGATGTGCGTGACTAGAAGAGGCCGTGTTCACAGAGAGAATTAGCACAGCGACCCAGTTTGGACACCACTGCGGCTCAGACACTTAACCTTTACTGACTCGAGCAGACAGCCGCAGCACTTTAGGAAGGAGCCGGAGCAAAAGAAATGGATTGCCGTGAGTGCTATTAGCCACAGATCGAGCAGAAAATTACCTGACAGCGTATGAGTTTGTGGCGGTTTGAGTAATACGTTCAAAACAAGAGCGCGTCGCCGTACTGGCAACATGAGGGAAATTGAATTAATAACAATTCTGCAGCATTTAGTCATCTATCCTGTGAAAAATACAGTCTGTGGCTGCTGATCATTGCAATGCAGTGAGAAGTGCAAGACTGAGATGGTGAAATGCATGCATAAAGTTAGCAGCAATTTTAAATAGTTTAACACGGATGTAATGTACCATTCAATGATGATCAGGATAAGCTTAAACACTGATTTGGAATTTAACACATTAAATAAAAGATCAAAATATCACCAGTGACTTTAATTACACAGGCATTAACCAGCCATTTATAAATGTTAAATATTAAAATGTAATCTGGTTTTAAATCTCAGATTATTTCTGTCATTTGTTGCACAACAATTTTTCAGCTTTTTGACTAAAAAATAAGAAATCACTTAGACCATGACTTGGCAATCAGCGGGAGATATAATGTTTTGCCCGTGAAGGGGGTGTTTATAAAATAAATTGAATTTAATTAAAAAAAAAATAAATAAAATTAAATAATACAAATAAAATAAAATGATACAATTAAAATTACTTAATAAAATAAATAAATAAAATATTAAAATAAAGCAAAATAAAACAAAACAAAATAAAAAAAATAATAATAAAACAAATAAAATAAAACAAAATAAAATAAAATAAAAAGGGGGGCATTCTCATAATGTGGAAACATTTCAGGTCTCCTGCCTTGTGTAGAGGTACACAATATTTGTTTATATCTACACATTATAAACATAATAAAACAAAATGTGAAAATTAAATAAAAATCAATTAAAAATAATAAATTAATAAATAAAATAAAATAATAAAATTAAACAATAACATGAAATTAAATTAAATTAAACAATAATATAAAATAAAATAAAATGAAATAAAATTTAATAAAAAATGAAAATGTAAAAAATTAAATAAAATACAAATAAAATAATAAAATAAAATAAAAAGAATTAAGTAATTAATAAACAAAACAAAAAACAAATAATTAGATAAAACAAAATAAAAGGGGGACATTCACATAATGTGGAAAAACTAATAGCGCTTCATGTACCCCGATTTGAGTACAAATACACAATATTTTTTTAAAATCTAAACTATTAGAAGAAATTATTTTTGTAATAAAATTATTAGAAGAAATAAAAAAATAATAATAAATAATTTGTTTCTATGTTCTTTAAAGCTGGTGCTGCACACACATCGTCCAATAGTAATGAGCCACTTGCCCTTCGCGCTGCAATCTTAACATTATCTGTATGGAAGATTTAAGTGACGGCATTCTGTATTTTGCCTTTCACTTGTATGGTGGCTCTGAACTGTCAAAACACCTCTCAAAGTGTTTTTTGGATGCGAAAAAACAAACCTGATTTAAAGTTTTTATGACGGATGAAGTTTTTGGAAGCAGTGTGACAATACTATAGACACATTGTGAGGTCTATTTAATCCTTTAACGTGCAAACCTTAACATGCAAAATAGTGTTTTCCAACCCTGTTCCTTAAGATACACCAACAGTACACATTTTAACCTCTTCCTAATCAAACACACCTAAATCAACTCATCAGAACATTAGAACAGACTCCAAAACCTGAAGTTAAAGGGTCAGATAGGGGAGACATCCAAAATATGTACACTACCTGACAAATGTCTTTGTCGTCGATCCAAATTGTAAAACCAACAAATAATAACTTGACTTCTTTGGAAAAGTGTCAGAAGGTAGATTTTTCAGATGAATCATCTGTTTAACTGCATCCTAATCATCACAAATACTGCAGAAGACCTAATGGAACCCGCACGGACCCAAGATTCTCACCGAAATCAGTCAAGTTTGGTGAAGGAAAAATCATGGTTTGGGGTTACATTCAGTATGGGGGCCTGCGAGAGATCTGCAGAGTGGATGGCAACATCAACAGCCTGAGGGATCAAGACATTTGTGCTGCCCATTATATTACAAACCACAGGAGAGGGCAAATTCTTCAGCAGGATAGCGCTCCTTCTCATACTTCACCCTTCACATCAAAGTTCCGAAAAGTAAAGAAGGTGATCCAGGATTGGCCAGCCTAGTCACCAAATATGAACATTATTGAGTATGTCTGGGGTAAGATGAAGGAGGAGGCATTAAAGATGAATCGAAATAATCTTGATGAACTCTGGGAGTCCAGCAAGAACACTTTCTTTGCCATTCCAGATGACTTAATTAATCAGTGATTTGAGTCATTGCAGAGATGTATGGATGCAGTCCTCCGAGCTCATGGAAGTCATACACAATATTCATTCTTTTTCTACTGCACCATAACTTTACATTCTATACTGTACATTATTTCTGTTAAGTAACAGGACTTTTGTCTAAGCCACAGGTATCAAACTCAGGTCCAAAAGGGCCGCAGCTCTGCACAGTTTAGTTCCAACCCTAATTAAACACACCTGATCAAACTAATTGAGTCCTTCAGGCTTGTTTGAAACCTACAGGTAAGTGTGTTGGAGCAGGGTTGGAACTAAACTGTGCAGGGCTTCGGCCCTCCAGGAATTGAGTTTGACACCACTGGTCTAAGCAAGGTCAGATCTTACTGTCCTAATTAAATAATTAAAAATCAAGGCATGATCATATTTTATTTTGGTAAAATAAGCGTAATCTAGAGGCCTTTGCCTTTCATATAAGCCACTTCGGAGGCAAAATGATCAACTAGAAGTCCATGTTATTATTTTATGTTCCTAAAACTTGGAAAGGCGACAAGACTTTTGTCAGGTAGTGTACTGTTGTTGTGCCTCCAGGAACCGGGTTGGGAAACACTGCTTTAGTCAATACTTTCCTATCCTAATAAAGTTAAAAACATCCTAAAAATAAAAATGTGCTAGACTCACCAATGCAGTTGTCTCTATGTTCTTCGAAGCCAGCGCTGCACACGCATCGTCCAATAGGAACAAGCCACTCCCCCTCAGCGCTGCAGTACATCTTGGGCGTGTCTCTTTCCTCAGCGTGATCCACACATTGACCCCGAACCTCAACCAATGAGGACGAATCTGCGCCCGTCACCACATCGGTGAAGATGGCCAGGTTGCGCGCCATTCCCGTGCAGCGTTTATAATACACCCGCACCGACACGATGGCGATGCACGCTCCGATATCCTGGAAGGCCAAGTAGAAGCCACGTTTTCCCAGCGGCCCGACACCACGGATCTCAGTGTTAAGTTTGAGTCTCCGCACTCCCAGATCCACATTGGTAAAACTCTCGTCTGCCGCGATGGTGTCGATTTTAGAGAACTGGCTCTCCCAGATGCTGGTGCCCACGTCCCGGTCTGTTTCGTAGTAGTAGAGGTTGAAGGTCTCTTTGCAGGTGCCAAGGACGCCCGGCATGCTGTTGCAGTCGCGCAAGGTGAACTTCATCTCAATGTAGATCCGTCGCGCACCGTCCCGCTGGATCCAGTTGGTGCGCAGCCAGTTGTTCTGACTTGGGCTCATCACATTGCACACCTGGTATGTGTGGATGGGGCTGAAGTACTCGTCCATTTCATTGATCGCATCCCACTGATGGCGATAGAGAGAGAGAGAGAGAGAGAGAGAGAGAGAGAGAGAGAGAGAGAGTTGTTATTGTTTATTTATACTAGACAGAAAATAAATTATATTACTTGAAATAAAATAAATAACAAGGAAAGAGAATGAGGGTTGTTATTGTGTACTGAAACTAAATCTGCAAATGGAAATAAATTGTATTAACTGAAATAAATGTAAAAAAAAGTAAAAAAAATTCTGCAATATAATATATATATATATATATATATATATATATATATATATATATATATATATATATATATATCAACCAACCAACCAACTAACCAACAAATCAATCAACCGACCAACGAATTAACCAACCAACCAACCAACCAACATATCGACCAACCAATCAACCAACCAACCAACGAATTAACCAACCAACCAACGAATTAACCAACCAACCAACGAATCAACCAACCAACCAACCAACCAACCAACCAACCAACCAACCAATCAACCAATCAACCAACCAACCAACCAACCAACCAACCAACGAATCAACCAATCAACCAACCAACCAACCAACGAATTAACCAACCAACGAATCCACGAATCAACCAGCCAACCATCAAACAAACGAAAATAAGACAAAAAAGGCAGACAAAACAAATAATAAAAAATTACATTAAATTAAGTTTTTTTTTTCCCTTTTTTTTATTTTATTTTTTTTTACATTTTTTCATTTTATATTTTCTTAATTTTTACATTTTAATTTGATGTAGTTTCTGACATTTTTCATTTTGTTTTACATTTTTAAGTTGAAGCTTTAAAATGATGAACCTAAACATAAAAAATTAACAGACAAATATAAAACCAATAACTAAATTACTAAAGTTTACAAAAAAGTTAAAGTAAAGTAAAAGTAAATAAAATTTGAATAGAAGTACTCAATATTTATTAGAAATTTATAACAAATAGTTTTACATCTAAACATTACTAGATGAAATATTTTCAAAAAATAAAAAATAAAAAAAATAAATGTAATTGTAGTCACTATTCATTTTATTTTACATTTTAAGGTTGAAGTTCTAAAATAACAGAAACTAAACAAAAACAATAATAAACAGAAAGTTCAAAAATAAAAACTAAACTACAAAACAGAAGTTTACAAATAAAGTTTAAAAATAAAGACAACATAAAAATTAAATACAGTTTTAACAGAAATACACAATATTTATTTTGCAAATTCAAATAGTTTTACATCTAAACATTAATAGAAGAAATATTGTCAAAATAAAATAAGTAAATAAATAAAAATGTAGTTTAAAAATTAAGAGAATATAAACAAATTTAATCTAATTAAATTTTAACAGAAATACACAATATTTATTTAGCAAATTCAAGTATTTTTTTTATAGTAATTCTAATGTATGATAATAATGTCTGATAGTATTTTAAACATTATTAGAAAAAATACTGGCAAAATAAAATACATTTCCATAAACAAATAAATGGCCTATAAGCAGTGACGCATTACAGCATTCACTAAATAAAACAACTAAAAAAAAAAAAAAATTGCAGATCATAAACAAAAACCAAAATACTACAGTACTAACACATCTTTGTTTGTAAATTAATATAAATTCAACAGTATTTCACATTTTACAGCAATCTGCATGAGAGCTGCTTCAAAACGTTTACATATGCACTGCGGTGCGCAAGATTAATATCATGATGAATGTGGCCAGCATTTCCTTAATAACGTTCAGAAATCCCTCGTTATTTATGGGAGGGTTTTATGCGGTTTAAGCAGTTTTTCTATGCAATGCAAATAATCAGGCATGAATAAATATTTTATTATGAGTTGCAAATGAACTTAAAGATTCATATCATCAGCCTGGAGCGGAAAAAATGAAAATGCGGATCAATGTGGATGAAGACGTCCAGGACCAGAGTTTTATCTAGTACCAGCAAAGACAAACAGTTGAACAATATTACAAAATAACTAACTAAATCAAGTTCATTTAACTGCAGTAGAGTGAGCTGTTTTTAACATCAGAGCTTTTTCTTCTTGTATTGAAGTTCATTCATTTTCCTTCTGCTTAGTTCCTCGTTTATCAGGGGTTGACACGGCAGAATGAACCGCTAACTATTCCAGCATATGTTTTAGGCAGTGGATGTCCTTCTAGCTGCAACCCAGCACTGGAAAACAAGTACGGCTGATTTAAGTTCATCCAATTTACCTATAGCACTTGTCTTTGGACTGTGGGGGGAAACCCAAGCCAACATGGGGAGAACATGCAAACTCCACACAGAAATGCACTAACCACTGAGACCCCTCGCCACTACTTGTATAGAGGTTTTAAAATAATATAGTATTGTGCTCGCAAATTTTAACACACACACACACACACACACGCGCGTGCACGCGCCCTTGTAAAAAATGGGATTAATTATTTATTTATGATGTTGTGTTTAACTGATTGCATTAATCTGTCAAACTTTATAGTCAGTCATGCATAACTGGTCATTTATGATCATCCCTAATTGAAACTATTAAAATAAGGGCAACAGAGTATAAAATTCATAGCTTAATCAGACCCTCATTATTGTGTTTCAAAAAACCGAGTGTTTTTAATAAATCAATCATAATTAGTGGGACAGCGTAACATTTGCAATTAAAGGTAACACAAATGAAAAGCCTTTAAGAAAAAAATTAAGAGGCCGCATTTTTGGGGGATTTCTACTTTGAGGAAAATGCTAATATTTATTGCATTCTATAAAAGTATGACAACAATTATTCCAAATTTAAAATAAAAACATTGTCATTTATTTCATATTTTCATATCATGCACTGCAAAAAAAGAATGCAGGCATCCACACAAGTCCTTCATGTTGTCACAACACAAATCAATTAAGTTAACTTAATTTTTTATGGTCAATCACCTAAATTTGTTAAATCAATTAAGTCCCCTCAGAAAAATTAAGAATAAAACTGATTTTGCCAGGTTTTATAAACTATTTTCAATTGGAGCACATGATATAATTGATCGCGGCTGGTCTCTCATCCATAATCAGTAATAATCCAATTAGATTGATTCGAGTCTACAATAAATAGAGCTTATCTTTATTTCGAAAGAACCCCCCCCCCCCCCCCCCCCCCCCCCCCCCCCCCCCCCCCCCCCCCCCCCCCCCCCCCCCCTTCCACCCCATCTCCTCCTTTTCCTCCTGTACTCTCAAACCTGCCTGATCTCGGACTCCCTTATATGCTCATTGACCAGGTCCAATTATCGACCAGGACCAATTATCATTGAGCTCGGGGTTCTCTCCCATGACAACATGCTAAACCTGCTAACAGCATCAAGCAATATCTAAGTGTAAACTCTTGAAAAATAGGTAGTTTGAACATTTAGCAAAAGTCATTTTTGATGCCATTTATTGTCATTTTTATAATGAATTGTTTAGGAAATAAAACTGGTCAGAATTAAAAATGTCTACACTTACACTACACTTGAAAGTGTGTTCATGAGACTGTCATGATTCCTTTATAATCCTTCATATAATTCCTTTATATAATAGTTTAAAATGCCTTTGTCATGACAACTTGATATTACACAGAGAAAAAAACTTGTCATAAATCTGCATGATTGTCATGAGAAAATAGTGCCCGTTTTCGCGTACAGCCCCAGTCCTGTCAAATAATAATAATAATAAAAAAAAATAATAATAATAATTCCTTACATTTAAATAGCGCTTTGCTGGACACTCAAATCGCTTTTACACATTGGGGTGAATCTACTAATTCACCACCAGTGTGCAGCATCCACCTGGATGACGTGACAGCAGCCATATTGCGCCAGACCGCACACCCCACACCAGCTGATTGGTGGAGAGGAGACAGAGTGATGAAGCCAATTATGATATGAGAAAGGATAGGAGGTCATGACAGAGACAGTGGGCTAATTTGGCCAGGATGCCGAGGTTAACCGCTACTCTTTTTCAAAGGACATCAGGGTTTTTTAATGACCACAGAGAGTCGGGACCTTGGTTTAACGTCTCATCTGAAAGATGGCACTCACTGAGCAGTATACAGTCCTCTTCACTATACTGGGGCGTTAGGACCCACACAGACCGCAGGATGAGCGCCCCCTGCTGGCCTCACTTTCAACAGCAACCTGGCTTTCCCATGTGGTCTCCCATCCAGGTATTGACCGGACGCAGCCTTGCTTAGCTTCAGTGGGCAACCATGGGAGAGTGACAGAGAGCTAGCAGACGGCAATGAATATCTAAATGAATGAGGAGTCCTGAAATATCAAGAGCTCCTCACTGAACTCACACTAAAATTATATTTCAGACAATTAAATTAATTAAATCAATTAAATCTGACGTTACCAGTCACATTACTTTTTTTTCCAATTCCTTTTTATTATATTTTAAGTAACATCTGCATACACATTTCCATGTGTTAGATCAAACACAAACCAACAAACAAACAATTGAACAAACAAAACAAAAACAAAACAAAAGACTTCTCAGTATTTTACATCAAAATACAATATCACCTCTATTATTAATCTTCTAGTAAAACATTTCCAAATCCACCACCTTTTAAAAACAGCGTAAAAGGTCCCCAAACTCTATCAAAAATGATATATCTATTTCTTATCATATAAGTTATTTTTTCCATTGTCATGTTTGTTGCTCTTTCAGCCAACAGCCTATAGTTGGTGCACATATACTTTTCCAATTTAAAGAAATAAAGGCTGATTTATACTTCTGCGTCAAACACCGGCGTATGCTACGGCGCTGACGCATAGCCCTTCGCCGTGGCCGTTGCCGTCACTGACGTGCACCTCTCTCTTGCGACTACATGTCGCAACAACGCATATTGGCTGACAATCAAGATCAGACAACATTTGGTAAAAACAACATTTTTGCTTTAGATTTTTTTGGTCCTTTTCTTTCTAAATGAATGACCCAGAATATTTGGACTGTGCTATGTGTTAAAATAAAAAGAAAATGTCAGATTT